TTCATGTCCTCCGAAAGCTGAGCAGGCACAGGCTAGTGTTGGTTCCTGGCCTGTCCTCACATAGTTGGCTTAAGTAGTTCTTATTTTAGAACAAAGACACTGGAGTGGAATCTTCCCAGAGTCAAAAGGGAGGTAAACAAAGGGGCCTCCAGGCCTGCTGGCTCCTGTTTAAATTCAGAGGAAAACATGTTTTGCTTCTCTCCGTGTGGGCTTGGGGTCTGTGGCTGGGCCATTCCTGGATTGCCAAACTGAGCTGCTGAGGAAGAGTCATCCCTAGGGGAGCACAGGGGTAGGAGCTGCTAGGTCTTTGGCTTCTGAGTCACCAGCATACGCTTGGACTTCGGGCCTCATGGGTCCTGTGGGAGTGTAAGTGGTAGGCTGAGGTTCAGCATCAAGCAGTCAGGCCTCCTTCCACCAAGAAGCCAAGGGAGCTCTGGTCTTCAATGTTGGCTTCATCTATCACCCTGGCCTTGACCAGGGCTCAGGTCCCTGAGACCCCAAGGCTAAACAGGGCTCAGCTCTTAGGCCAGAAAAAGCCGTTAGATGCCAGTGCAGGGCATGTGTGATGTAGAGCTGAGTGAGACTGTTGTCCAGCTTGGGATGACACTTCTGTTCAGCCAGTTAGTCCCATAACCTGGAGGGAGGCTATGCAAATGGTTATCTGGCTCCTAGGAAGCGTTCTCAATGGCTGGATGTCAGATCCTTTGATAATAATAATCTAGCATATGGAAGGTCCTAGGTTTGATCTTTAGCATCACAGAGAGATTAATTTTTTAAAAAAATGAACAGTTCTCCAAGAACCCCTGACAGCAATAAATATTCCATATTCTAAAGAAAAACTCAGGAAACCCAGCCAGAGACAAGTCCTCCTTTACCCCATCAGTGTCTACTACGTACCTCTTGGAGACCTAGTCTGTGCTCCCAGAGCTGATGAGGTGCTTGCTGCAAGATGACAGGCAGCAAATGGGCACAGACGGCTAGAGCTCTGGTGGAGCTGGGAGGCCTTCTGGGAACTGGGCCCCAAGAGAACTGGGCTCCAACCTGCCCAGCTGGAGGAGAAAAGGACCATGGGAGGCTGGAGTGGTGACAGTGGGACAGGACAGGGTCATAGTGAGGACGCTGCTGTGAGGCTGTCAGGCCAGGAGTTTAGTGCATCATATGGAAACCTCCTTAGCCTTGTGTTACAAACTTGGAAATCATGACCCAGAGAGGCAGTGGCTCAGCCATACCTCTTCCTGGCATTTCTGTGTGTGCCCCCTGTGCCCTCACAGCCTTTGCGCATGCTGGCTCACTCCCATGGCTGTATTCATGTGGCCAGAGGTGGTCACAGACGGCTGCTTGGGGTGGACTGACTGGAATGTTCAGTGAGGAGTTGATCCAGGGGTGTAATTTCTTGGTCTGCCTCTGTGCATGCCAGCTATGTGTTGTTGAGCAAATAGGCCAGTTTTTGTGGGGTTCTGTGGGGACCCATGAAGTAGCCTGAGGGATGTCCATATCTGTAGGGCAGATTCCTTCTTTCCCCCTTCATGCTGTCTCCTTCATCAGTAGGTCTTGATGGGTGAGTGGGGCAGACAGGCCTCTGCCTCCTGGCTATGCTCCAGTGACAAGTGGCCTGGCCCTACCACGCTGTTGTGTCAGGGGAACCACCTCCATAACCAACGCCAACCCCCCTCCCAGTCTCCCAGACAGAGTGACGCTAAAGGCAGCAGACAAAGGGCCTGTTGAAAGTGCTTTGAACTGTCACTGAGAGAGAAGTCCTGGTCTCTGGCAGCTCCCTTGAGGCTCAGGTGACAGCAGCATCCCCCAGCTGCCCTGTCCCTAAGGCTGCTATGAAAGGCTGCAGCAGAGATGAGGAGGGAATGGGGAAGGAGCTGGGCCTTTCCACCATGCCTGCCCTTGCTGGGGTGGGGGAGCTCTGGTGACTTCACAGCTGCTGCTCTCTCCATGCCGCCTCCTCCAGTGAGAACCCTCTGCCCACGGTGGAGATTGCTATCCGGAACACAGGCGATGCTGACCAGTGGTGCCCACTGCTGGAGACACTGACTGATGCTGAGATGGAGAAGAAGATCCGAGACCAGGACAGAAACACAAGGTACCCCAGCCCTGGATCTTGGCTTGGCCCATAGGCACCCATCTTCCCCAGACAAGAGTAGGACCGTCTTTCCCCAGTGACAGGGGACTAGGGAGGAACCTGCTTTGCCAAAGGCAGGCTGCTGGGCGATAAGGCCTTACCTGGCCCCCAGGGTGGGTTTCCCTATAGAGAACAAGAGGTCTTCCAGTCATGTCTGACAATAGCCCAGAGCAGGGTCAAGGGTCCTGGAACAATGGGCAGAGGTGGCCTTGCTGGGTTGGGGCTGGGTTGGGGCTGGGGGGGACACCTGGCTGCTCTGAGGAGCCCTGGAGAAGGGCAGCTTCCCAGGCCTGGGTCTGGCCTTAGCTGACTTCCCCTACCCCCCCTTGCCTTCTTCCAGGCGGATGAGGCGTCTCGCCAACACTGCTCCAGCCTGGTGACCAGCCCATCAGTGCTCGGCTCTCATGGAGCATCTCAAAGATTGGAGGACTCCTTCCTCTTCTGGCAAGAAAATAGGCAAGGGGACAGCTCAGTGCCACTCTGAGGAATGGGGGAGGGGTGAAGGGCATTGGGGCACCTCCAGATTGCCCTCCTCTAAAACACATTCCATTTGCTCTGCCCCAATCCTGTCCCCCTACTCCTAGCACCCTCCCCAAGTGTCTGGGGTCAGGAAAAAGCCTCATTTCGTTGTGTTTTGTTTTTGTATAGGAGCCCCAGGCAGGGCTAGCAATACTTTTTAAATAAAAAGCAACAGGTCATGCTCAGTTTCTTGAGTGTGATGGCGCAAAAATAATGGGAGAGGACAGGAATGGTGGTTAACATCTATATAACCCCAGTTACTGAGGAAACTGAAGCAAGAGAGTCAAAAATTCAGGGCCAGCCTTGGCAACCTAGCAAAACTCTGTCCCAAGATAAAAAATGAGGAGTTGGGGATGTTGCTCAGTAGTATAGTGCCCCTGGGTTTGTTCCCCAGAACTGGGCAGGGGCAGGTAGGTGAGTTCAGCTGAGCTAGATCTGGCTGGGGCTGCTGTGCCCTCACCCTTCTCTGCCTCACCTTACCGCCCAGATGGGTAGGTGGTGATTAAGAGGTTCCCATCAGCCACCCCAGCAGGGGTCCTAAAGCAGAGCCCCATCCTTGCTTTTCCTTGGGCCTTCCAGCTGGCCACCTGTCCTAGCAAGTACCTGAAGAGGAGAAAGGAAGTAGCCAAAAGGCTCACAACAGGAGCCCACCTGCCTTTCAGTGACAGCTTTTTCTGTCCCTTCACCTGGGCACAGGGCCGATCTGCCAACTCTTATCCTGTCCCTAGGATGCCTTGCTACATCCAGATAAACGCCACCAGCCAGGGGCCTTGCAGAGGGCCTGGTGCTGGGTGGGCACTGCCTGGATGCAGGAAGGCCTGCCCCAGCTCCAGCAGCCCACACAAAATATGGTGATGGGTCTCATCGCCACTTGTGGCCCAGGCCAGCTGCTCCCTCCCAAAAGCCTGTTGTGAAGAAAATCAAAGCAGCCCTTCGCTGGCTTTTGGGGTTGCTATAGTATGCAGAGAGAAAGCTGAGTGCCTGGCTCCTTCCCAGTTATGCTTCTGATGAGCTTGTTGTCACCTGTGTTCCTGTTTGTAATGCAGAAATGTGTATACTTTGAAGATTGGACTTAGGCTCCTTGAAGGTGGCATATGTGGGTTTCTTTACTGAGCCAAAAAGTGCTTGGTAAACTGGGCACACACACAGCTCTTCTTCATGAAGACAGTGGTCCACACCCTTACCACTAGGCTGGTGCCACTCTTGGCTGCTGGCAGGGCCAAGTCAGAGACCTCTTTCTCCAGGGGCATGTGACAAGGACACTGTGACGTGGCTTCCTTCTTGAGTCCATGTGGGGGCAGGGGTGGGGCTCTTGGTTGCCAGGCTGTAGGCAGCCTGCTGTTGTGTGTCTAAGACTGTGACTGTTTCCAGGAAATGTGGTCTCAGGCCCTCTGCCTGTCAGAGTGGAACTCTCCAGAGGCCTACAGCAAAGAGATAGCCAGACTTTCCGGAAAGACCCTAAGCAACAGGGACGATTCCAGGCCCACTGGCTTTGGGAATGAATGAGCTCTGTTGCTAAGGGGTTTGCTTCATCTATGAGGCAGGTGGCAGCCCTGTGCTGTAGTTGGTAGGACACTGCCCAGTCCCTGCCTGCTTCTGTGCCCTGGAAGTACTGCCCACCTGCAGTGAAGTTGCTGCTTTACCAGGTTTCACTACAACACAAGGTCAGACTCTCAGAGAATGTTGTTACCATAAAAATGACAAGCTGTGGCTGTGGAGCCCCAGTGCCACTGAGCATCCAGGAAGCCACAGTGTGAACAGGTCTAGAGCAATAAGGAAGGCTGACCACAAATAATACCCATTTTCCGAGGAGGAGGAAAAGGCTCCTCAGCTTAAATGGCAGGAACAGCTCTCCAGACATAGGCCTGCTAAGGCAAAACATCTTGAGCCTCTGGGGTTAGACAGAACAGAGGACCCAGTTCCAGCTCTACTGTGCTCTGACTTCATGCTCTGAGCTCAGGTTACCAGCTGGAAAATGAAGCAGAGGCCCATTTGTTAAGGTTGTTGATGAGGACAGGCGAGGTGAGCTGGGAATCAACCACAGGAAGGGGCATCTCTAGAATGGGCTCAGTCCTGGCCCCAACTGCTGAGCTATGACCAACCCCTTTGTTGAATGCCAGGTAACAGAGGCCGAGGGGTGGGAATGCCTGCCCCTAGGCACTGGCAGGACTAGAGTAAAAACTCTTTCAAGTCTGTCATTTGTGAGCTCAGAGCCCTGCCTGGCATCCATGGGCAGCTTCTTTGCCCTCTCTGGGCCTCCCTGATCACCTGCAGTGGGCTAAGGGCATGCTGGGCAAAGGGGCAGACATAGAAGGGCATGGAAGGTGTGGTGGCCAAAATGGGGAGCCAGTTGTGGGCCCAGAGGGTACAGGTGACTGTTTATTTGGATGGGCTCTTGCATGGGCCCACCCTCCAGGATAGATTGGTCTGCTGTAAGAAAGAGCAGGGAGAACTGGAGTCTGCTGGAAGCTTGGGGTGCTGGCCCAAGGCAGGCTCACTGCAAGGGTGGCAGGTGGGGCCCCTCAGGAAGGGGCAGGTAATTGGGGTCCTCCTCAGGATTGTCCAGTAGCAGCTTCCTGTCAGAAGGGAGGCACACTGAGCTGAGGCCAGCACGGAGCCTCATTCATAAAGAGTCACCTGAGGGAAGGGTCGCTGTCATCTCCCACACTCACAGGAAGCCAGGGGTTAGCAGCAGTCTCTTGCCTCCAGGCTGGTTGGGGAAAACATCCTCTAGGAAGTAGTAGATGTGACCCACAGCAATCCCTGTGAGACAGTAACACACTGCCACCCTGCACAGTCCCAGATAACTCCAGGGCTGAACGACAGGCCGGAAGCAGGTAGGTCTTGGGAAGGCCCAGGGAACACTGGGGAGCTGGAGCCTGCCTGTGCATCCCACCCCCACAGGGCCCACTTGGGCACTGGCAGATGAGCTCCACAGATGCAAATCCTGTGTACCAGCTAGCTGGCTGGTGTGGGGCTGGGCCAACAGGAAGAGGGGTGAGGAGGCAGATAAGAGGGCCCTGGGGCATAGGCCCTAGGGAGAGGATCAGCCCGGGAGGGTGGGAAGGACAGGCAAGCTCACCCAGCAAGTCCACGATGATGGAGTTGCCCAACAGCAGTGAGAAGCCCATGAGTGCCCAGGGCAGGAATGGTGCCTGGAAGGTGAGGAGGCCAAAGAAGTTGACTCTCACCTGAGGGCTCCGGCGGCTCCACACATACACCAACATGGCCATGAGCGCCTGACCCAGGAAGAACAGGCTGCCCAGGAGCCCCAGCAGCTGGGCAGGAGTCAAGGCGTCATGGTGCAGGTCTCAGCCGTGCCTATGGCCTCTCAGACTTGCTAAGCCCCTGGCATCCTTCCAGTGGTCCACTTCCCTTACGGTGTGGTCCATCCATCCAGATGAGCCCTCCTGCACTTGGTCTTCAGGTCCATGAAATCTGCCCTGTACACCTATCCTTTCCATCCTAGGCTCCAACCACTGCTGGTCCCTGTCAGTTTGTCCTGGTTATTGGCACCGAAGGCTCAGTGCCCCAGGAGCCCCACCTGGCTCTCCTGTACATTTCCCTGTTATATTTTGCACACAACGTTGAAGATCTGTCCCTGGCCCCAGGAGCTGAGAGCAGAATAGCTGCTCAGTACAGCCTAAGCCCCCCCATCTCAAGCCTCAGGGACACCCCTCATGCCTGACTCTGAGGAACCATGGCCTAAGGTTCCTGAGCAAGAGTGGAAGGATACTGTCATAAGGATGCCCCCGAAGAGAAACATAAAGACAAAGTCGGCTTTGCGTCCGCGGAAGGAGCCCTCCTCCAGCATTCGGCAGTAGCGGAACCTGCAGCGATAGTATAGGAAGTGCCGTCCTGCTGGGGCCTCAGTTTCCCCGTTTCCAGCCGCTCCCAGCTTTGTGCGCCCCTCCCCCGCCCGAGTCCACGCGACGCAGGATACACGAAGAGCATGTTGAAGAAGAAGCTGAATCCCAGAGGCCCGAAAAAGAGGAAGTTGGTGACCAGCCTCCAGATCTGCAGGGGTGGGGGAGACAACAGGCGATGGTCAGGTGCGGGACCTGAAGGGTCGGCTCACAAGGGGTGGGGGGCGGGCAGCCTCACCTGGAACTTCCGGAACACGAGGTGCGGGTTGAAGTAGAGCTGAAAGGGGCTGAGGAGTTCCAGCTGCTGTGGAACCAGAGCCGCGTCAGGGGCTGGCCCCAGCACGTACGCTTAACCCCGGCGACCCCCGCTAATGCCTTCTACCCCTTCAGGGACTGTAACCCCTGCCCGGCCCGCTCACCACGGCAGCTGTGGTGAGGACGCAGGCTGCCGTGTAGGCTCGCGTCACCGCCGGCACCTGCAGGAACTCGGCCGCCAGTCCCTGCCACGCCATTGAACCTACTCAGGCACGCTGCCCCAGATCTGCCAACTCTACAGCCCCCTTGCGAGCCCCCAGATCTCCAAGCCCCGCCTTACTCCCTACTTTGGCCAGTCTGCGTTCGAGGCGGGGAGCGCAAGGGCTCCAGGGAGGGCCCCTGGGCTCAGTAAGCCAATGAGAAGAGGAAAAGGGAAGTCGGGGGCGGGAAGGGGAAACGGGCGGGTTGCGAAGGCTGGCCAATTGGCAAGCCCCACGAGTCAGCACGTGGCGGTTGTTGTGCCTGCGGTGCCGGCGCGGGAGTACAGGCGGCCAGTGAGGAACTGTCCTGTCTAGAAAAGGGCAAATAGCAAGCACCCACGAGGCCACCAAGGCGACCAGGGCTAGGACTACCGCAGTAGTGGAGTAAAGACCGGAGCCAGGTGCTGCAAAGCCGGAAAACTGCAGGATCACAAGGGGCGCGCGCGGGGGAGGGGGGCGCACCGGGAGCAGGGCCACGGGGCGGGCTCGGAGTGTGGTTGCTGTCCATTTCCCTCAGCACTCTGACACTTGGGCGCGGCCTTCCCGCTGAGAACCACTCCTGTTCCCATAGCGAATGAGGCGCTTGGGAGAGGGCCCAGATCCCCTAGACACCCTGGTCCCGCTCACCGTACCAGCCCTTATCTTTGGTGTTCTGGGGTCTCCGCTGAGCCAGGGTTCCACATGGAGTCTTGCAACCTCATATGGGACTTGAGGGTTTGAGGCTGCTTGGAGAAGGGCATCAGTACTTGTTGGAAGAGAGAACTCCATCCATCCATCCATTCATTCAAGAAAGAAAGAAACCATTTACTTAACACTTGTGTGTTGTGGGAAGGCAACGATTAGGGCCTACCGGCAGATGAACAAACAAGATATAAATATTCAGCCTTCACAGGATGAAATCTTAAACATGCTCCAACGTGGATGAACCATGAAGACAAGATGCTAAGTGAAATAAACCAGTCCCCCAAAGACAAATACTGTAGGATTCTCTTATATGAGAAAGGAAATGGGAAGCTATCATTTCATGGGTGCGGAATTTCAGTTTGGGAACATGAAAAAGTTCTGGAGCTGGACAGGGGTGATGATTGTATATAAGAATATGAAGTTCCTTCACACCACTGAGCTGCACACCTAAAAATGGTCTGGACCACCTTTATGTATAATCCTGCAACTTTTTAAAAAGATTTCTGTGTCTCCTCTGAGGACAGTAGACTGCCAGAGGAATCGCTGAGCAAAGAGACAATGATGCCTTGGGCTGTCCTTCGGGGGTACAATGTAGGCCTGGTGGTAGACTGGCCACAAGCTGAGAATGGCTGTGGGAGGAACCTAGCCGAAGTGGGAGATGTTGGTGGCCATTACAGAGTTGGAGAACACTTAGGAGAAGGTAGGAGGAATAAAAAATCCTGTTACGTTCTCATTGGCTTTGAAGCACCTGTGACATCTGCACAAAACTCCATGTGTGGAGAGGGAAGAGGACAGGGCTGAGAGGCCCCCTGGGGTGTCAGCGGTGGACAAGTGGCAATTTCAGCTTGAGCCTGCTGCCAAAGGCATGCGAGTAGACAGGCGAAAGAAGGCAGGTCCAGGCAGTGACTGTCTGTGGTCAGGGAGAAAAGACAAACCCAGCCGAGAGCTGGTGGGCCCAGGAGCTGAGCCCAGAAAAGACCTCAAGAAAAAGCAGGGCAGTGAGAAGCCCAGGCAGAGACGTGGCCTGGAAAGAGACTGTGAGACTCATCTATGCCAAGGTCCCTGGGAAAGGAAGCAACCACAAAGATGTGCCTTGGCCATCAGTGTGGACATGAGGGTGTTCTGCACAGTCCCCCGAGCAGACCGAAGCTGGCCCTGGAGGGAGAAATGGTTGAGAACGCCGTCTAAGGAAGATGCCAAGAGCCCCCCAAGTGTGCAGAGTAGAGTCCCCTGAGGACCAGTGCCTGATGAGGGTGGGTCCAGGAGACCCTGCTCTGGAAGGAGGTCGATGGTGGGGAGCACTGAAGAAAGGCAGTGGGCATTTGATTTGTGGCTCCCCAAGGCAACAGAGGTTGGATGCAGTGCGCAGAGTGGGGGCTGGGCAGGCTGAGGGGGCCTCCGTGAAGGGCCTTGGTTTTCCAGTGAAGCAGCCAAAGGTCATGTTGGAGGTGGGCCAGGGAGAGCAGATCCCACCCGGGCAGTGTGAGGGGAGCCGGGGCCTCTGACGGCTGCCGCCAGGGCAGGCGCCACCACTAGTAAAGGGGCCTACAGAGGGAGGTCAGGTTTCACGAGGGTCTGGGGAAGGGGAGTATTCCGTCTTCAGGTACCCAGCCCGGGCAGGCCTCCCTCCCCGCAGGGTCAGGTCAGGGCTCACAGGAGGGGCTGTCATTCTTCTGTCTCCTTGTGTTTGGGGGCTGATAAGTTGGGCGCCTGAATTAAGATGGGGCTCCTGGATAGGGAGCCCCCAGAAGCACATTCTTGGGAGGCAGGGAGCCCCTGGCTGGTGGGAGCAGCCAGGCTGGATGGGAGGAAGCCCAGCCCCAGTGGGCAGCAGCTGGGCCCCACTACAGATGCTCGCTTTCAGCATCCTGGGTATCCTCAGATGGGGAAACTGAGGCTTGGTGAGAGGCAGAGCAGGGCCTGGGAAAGGTCTCCATCTCCAGGGCTGCCCAGTCTCAGGCCCAGGATGGGCTACTCTGAAGATAGTGTGTCCCTGAAGATACTAGACCCTGGGGGGTGGGGGAGGCTCCTCTAGGCAGTTATTTATGGAGAGAAGCTCTGGGCACCTCAAATTCCAGGGGCCTTGAGACGTGGGCACTGCTGGCAGTGTAACACCTCATGGTGACTGGATGCCTTCTGTACTGAGGACTGCACAGGAGAAGGCTCTGGGGTCCCTTGGCAAGATAGCCATGAGCTCTGCTCTTCACACCAGCTCCCTGGCTTTGTGACTGTCCCTATTGCTAAGCAGGGAACACTGGGATCCCCAGATCTGATGGCCCCGGATGAACCCTAAATCTTCTGCCCAGGCTCTGCCAGTGCTGATGAGCAGGCGCTGCATGCCCGCCCAGCTGCCGCCTCCTCACAGCTGCTCACACAGGGACGGACCCTCCGCAGCCCCTGGTGACCACACAGAGACCTCAAGTTGCCCCTGCACCTCCACCTCTGTGGCTCGCTGGATGCTCCCATGGGACTCTAGACCCTTACTCCTCCCCATCACCCCACACCACCTCTTATTTAGGCCTCAGCTTTTTTCCTCTGGGTCTGCAACAGCTCTCTGGATTTTTCATTTATTCTTTTTTTTTTTTTTTTTTTTTGTCCCAGCAACCTAGAGAGGAAGGGCAGATATGCCCCCTACTCCAGGAAGCCCTCCTTGATCCCCCCAAAGACTAGAGCTCACCTATCTTCCTTTAGGCTCCTAATCACTTAACTTTCAAAAGTATTTTATTCCTATAGCTGTCTGTGTCATTGGCAACAAACCACAAAAATCAGAAACAAAGGGGCTGGGGATTTAGCTCAGCGGCATAAGCGCCTGCCTTGCAAGCAGGTGGTCGTGAGTTCGATCCCTGGTACCGATAAAAATGAAAAAGACAAAAAAAAAAAAATCAGAAACAAGATGAATGTTTGCCCCTCTTGGAGCTCTTGATGACACATTGTACCATTTGCTGGCCCTGAACACTTGTCTTTCTGTTTGGGGCCCTTTCCTGGGGGGCTGCGAGCATCCGGCACATGGATTCCACCAACCATGGTAGGTAGGTGGGCCTCCCCTGCAGCTCTAGCCACCCCCTCCCAGAGCAGCTGTGTCCCCGCTGGCCCTTCCTGTCTGGGCCATGGGGTATTTTTAGCACCAAATCCGGAACGCACACCACAGCAGCTGCTCTTGGCCAAAGTGCAAGAAAAACAAATCACACAGGTGGACTGTGTCGGATCGGGGCTGCAGAGGGGACTACCTGCCCTTGGCACTTCTGATCCTAGCAAAATCCAGATGTTTCAAGAATGAGCTGGCCTCTGGGAAAATGAGGAAGGAGTAGGTGGAGTCAGGCAAGGGAAGAGTCTTTCTAGTCAGCCTGAGGTGGGGGGAGTCAGTTCAAAGGCCCTGAGGTAAGTTGGAGGACAGAGAAGATGAGAGATGGCCTGGGATGAGGAGAAGGAAGAGGTGGAGGAGCAGGAGGAAGAGGAGTTGTTGCATGTCATGTGAAGCAGAAAGGAGGCCAGGCAGAGCTCTGTCCACTGTGGTCTCTGTCTTAGGGACATGGGGAACCTTGGGAGGGTTTTCAGTATGAAAGTAGGGTCGACCAGATGGCTGCTTTTTTGGAGGAGGAAAGATTAGAGTGAAAACAGTTGTCCGGGCAGAGAAGGAGAGCAGGTCCCGCACACTGGCAGCCAGTGTGCAGCCGGCAGGCATCCCTGCCCCTGGTGATAGGGCGGGTACCTGTGGGAGCCCAGGGAGGGAGGTGAGGCACAGACAGACAATGGGTTACAGAGTCAAAGCCACTGACCTTTGTCAGCACTTGGCAGTGGGTGCGAGGTCAGGAGGGCTGGACAATGTCCAGGCTCCAGTGAGCTCCCACGCCGGGCAGACATGCAGGTGAAGACACAGTTTGAGAGGTTCCGCCATTGGACTGTTTTGGAGAGGCCCATCTCAGCCGCACAGCCCACTCCTCCCAGCTCTGAGGCCCTGCAGCCCTGTCACACCTGTAGTTGGGCTCCACCCCTGGGGTCTGTGGAGTGCAGAGCTCAGGCTGCATTTTGGTAACCACAAAGATGCATTAAGCAGGAGCCACGAAGTCCAGAGCTGGCTCTGCAGCTTCAGGGCAGCAATGGGACCTGCCTCTCCCTGTTTCCTCTGGGCCTCGGTGTCCCCTTCTGTGAAATGGGCAGGCTAGGAAGGTCAGAAATTTCCAGGCAGGAGCCTCTGCTGGCCCCCACTGCAGGCCAGCCCCTGCCCTCAAAAACATATGCTCGTGGGTGGTATCCCCTAAGGAAAGATCTTTGGGGTGCCTGTCTCTCCCAGCCTTGTCCCTTGCTGTCTTTTGTCCAGGGTTGCCTGGAGCCTGGGGTCAGGAATGTCCATAGTGGCCACTCCTGTCCCTGAGGAGCTCTGTGAAGACCCTGAACCT